GTACTGTACGAATCTGGTAAAATATTACACGATTCTAATCCTCTAATTTGTACTTCACAACGATCATATAATTTTTGAAGTGCTGTCACATCGCAAGACCTTTTAACCGGAATCAGAGTTAATAAATTGTTCATGTGGGTATCTATTATTAGTTCTTTGCGTCCGAAGCGATCTTTTAATATTTTCACAGCCTTTTCGTAATTCTCTGCTGTTAACGTCAACCCTTGTATTGCAGTTTCTACATCGGAAGTAAGAATTGACTTTAAATAGTTAAATTTATCTACCGCATGTAGGCTTTCGTTTTCATGTACAGCTGTCTCAAATCGTGCCCAAAACCCGGGCCAACTGCACATGTCCTTTCCCGAAAATGTTTCCAGTGCCAATTTGGGGAGTTTAAATTTGTTCTGCGATTCAGTGACATTTCTACATGAAGTAGAATTAGCGCTATGTAATTAGTATCTAAATATCTTTTCGCGTGTAATTTCCAAATAATAATTTTACTTTTATACTCTTCTCTAGACATTATTTCATCTTCTAAATTTGCTACATCGATTAAAGTTTCAGTACCATTATCTGCTAAGATTAGTTCTTCTTGTTTACTAATTAACTCAGCAACCGTTTCTTCAATTACATTTTTATCCCCCTCATTAGCAATTTCTGTTTCTATCTTATTTATCAGCCTCGTAACTACTGCTCTTATAGCAGATCGTTTCTTTTTAAATTTTTCTAAATCCAATGTTTTTGCATTTTGCTTAAGCAAAATCTATTAAATTTCAGTTCAAATTAAACCCATTGGCCCCACGTTATGGCACCACAACATTATTATTTATATCCTATAGTTATTGTTACTTCTAACTAATTAATCAAGGTAAAACAAAACTGCTTACCTGGTTCCAATGGGTTCTGCCAGGGCCATTGGTTATTATCCTCTGTGCAACTCCTTCTGCCAAATCTTGAGAGGGATAATCCATAAATGATTAATACTTTCTTTACACAAACATATTTAATGAAGACGCAAACGGTTACAGAATATTTACATAATGAAAAGGTTTAAATGTTCGCACGACGCAGCGTGCGACTTCTCAGTTCCGAGTTCTCGTGATCTCTAGGCGAGAGTTCATAGTTCGAGATGACGTCACTCAGCCATCGGATCTCAGCAAGAGTTGAGTTACAATACATGGGATGATTAGCCAGAGAGTTAAGCCACCCAGCCAGTATAATGGCCAGTGACCCTGACTGCCAAAGTGATGAGCCTGAATTCGAATCGTGGAGAAGGTATGGTTGTAACTGTCTGTTCCCTCATAGCAGTGGGGACCACCCGTTAGCTGCTTCCATAATGAAATGGTCATCATTTCCAGCCCTTGTAGTGATGCAAGGCTAATGGCTATTAAATAAAACAGAGTTTCTGAAACTGTGGGTCCTACAGTAGGGGGTCACCAAAAATTGTAGCAATATTGATATTTCTTATATAATAATTTTACAATTATCAAATATTTTTACATAATGTATCTGAAAATAAAGATAAGATAATACAGGCAAAGAAAAAACGAAAACATTTCCATGTATCATTTTTTACAATAGAAACATTAACTTTACTTTAAAAATTAAAGTTAATGACCTAAAACTGCAATAGTCTATTACATTGCAAGTGAAGAAACACAGTTTCATCCACATGTGTGAGGGATTTGTGCAATGCTTATGGGGTTCCACAAAATTTTCATAAATATTATGGGGTCCCCTCACCAAAAAGTTTTAAGAAATCCTGAAATAAAGTGGTTGGCCATTAAAAAAAAGGAAAATAGGTTAAATCACATTATTCAAAATTCATTTAAAGTTTACTCTTAGGATATTGAGCTTTTTCGTTTTATTTGGCTGCGGACAATTTCACTACCCCTATTTTGTTCTACGCTTATAATTATTGTGTTTGGTCTTTATTCATTCTTCTTGTCCTGTTCTGCAGCTTGTAATAAATATTATGTTTGGTCTTCATTCTCATTATAAGGCTGTCGTTCTCTTGCATATGTTCCACACTCCTTTCAGCATTCTCATTAACAATCCTTAAGTGTTTTAATTCTAAATACTTTCTTGTTTGTAATCATTTTTGAGTTTTCACATTTTATAATTAAAATCCAAGTAATTTTCTGGGATATTAAGGCAATAAAAGAAATTCTTAATTTTTTTAAATCTGAAAATTCTCCAATCTTCATATCATGAGAAATCTTGTCATTTAACTGGATGTGCTTGTGAGACTCACTGACATGGTATCTTTCATGAAAGGTCTAAAACATAGCTTTCTTTGCATGTGTACACACATTTTAATCAAAAAAGGAAAACTTACATGTGCCTTAGTAAAATACCACAGTACTCATTCTAGTTTCTTACTAGTAACTTAGAGATAGCAGCATTTATCATTTCACAAGCATGAAATTTCTTCTCTAAACTGAGGTCATTAAAGGGGACTGAAATCAAAAGATGATCTCTAAGCTTAGCTGTAAGATAAGATAAACAGATGCATGTTACTACACTTCGTTTTCTAACAGTGTAGTGAGTTTGAACTAGCCTTGAAAAATTGTTTCAAAAGTATACAATGTCACCCATCTAGAAGGATGATGAACCTCAAAATATATAAACCATATACCACATAAAGGAATGCTTTCCAGGAAAATGGTTACCAGTAGTGGGGGTTTTCTGTATTCATCTCTTAGTAGAATTTCATGAAGTTCTCTGAGTTTGTGCCCTTTTCATCTTCTAATGCTGTTGAAACTATTGTATAACTGATTGCACCTTCATAAGCTGTTTGATTAATCTTATTTCATTACAATTTAAAATGTTTAAACTTGGCTGTATCAAGGCCTGATGGTGCGTGCTGTGTACCATCACTGATTGCACTTGCAAGAAGAGCACTAATATGTGATGAACATGACATGCTAGGCAGAGGAGGTTTTTTTTAAAATTTTTTGTCCAAAAGTATTCAAGTTCTATCTCTTGTATATGGCATTTACTCTGTAAATAATTCTCTGTATTTCAAGTAAAATGGCCAGGGATTGAGTCTGATATTTGTATGTGCTCTTTTGTAACTGGAAGCAACCGAAGGTACTGCTTTTCTTAATCAGCATTTTCATGTGTTTTCTTCTCTTCAAGGTTATCACTGTTGTTTCTGCTATTAACATCTCTGATGGAAATTGGAATGGCACTTCCAGTCTGAGTCGTCTTGTCCATATTACATGGAGCAATGGTTGCCAGAGCCTACTTTAAAGAGAGGTTGGACTTCTATTTTCCACCACCAATTTTGAGGGAGAGCACCCGGTGCAGGGGATCTGGGAGATCTCCCACCCATTTCCCCTTCCACCGATCCACACAAGAGGACTTTTGGCTCGCCGCCATGCCGCATTGACATATACAAAAATCTCTGTCTTCTCCGGGATTCAAACCAGAGTCCTTCTGTACCGTGATAGGCTCCCCTGACCACTATATGTCAGGGTGACAGTCTGAGCTGTTTATATTTCTGTGCACTTAAGCTTGAATGTTTGCTTTCTTTGCTCCTGTTAATTTGGTTTTGCTCTTGCTTTTTCGAATGCAAAACTTTATTGACTTGTCTATGGCCACTGAAAGATGACAGTGCTATCAAAAATTGACAGAAAATATTTTATGCATTAATTTAGGCACATAATTATAGTAAATAGGAATTTGAACTAACTTGAGTGGCCTTTTTAAATACAACAGAATCAGCATGGAGTTTCTGAACATAAGACGGCCTGTCAACAGTAATTCCTAACTTCAGAGATAAGGACCACACTATTATACACATTGCGAAATTATCCTTTTTAAAAATATTGCCCAGTATATACTGAATAGAAATGGCTTCATTTTCTTGAATTTGGAAGTATTTCCTTCCTATCATATTGCAAATCTCTCATATTCCACAGTAGTCCTGTGCATTCATGGTGTTCTGTTTTCACTTTTTACCAGTATGAGTATAAAAGATATTGCAAATTTAATATTGGTTAGATACATGATGTGCAGAAATAAAGGACGGGTTAAAATTTTCATAATAGTCTAATATAAATATATATGTCATATAAAGTCTTCAATAGAGGATGTGATCACCCTTGATTTTGTGATATAGGATGTGCTCTGTTTATCCATAATCAGTATGAGATCATTGATGAGCTGTAGAGACATCAGCCGATTCCTTTTGTAGCATTCAGTTACAGATGTCTCGTAATTGGTGGTTACCAATGCACTGAAGTCTGACAAGCTGGTGAGGTATCATAGCTCATTCCACTTGTCATACCAATCGTAATTCTAGATTTGGTTGCTGGCAACATGCTTCCAGGCATCTCGATTTAAGCCTTCGATTTAGATACCAAGTAGACCAGTCGGGAAAAATCCACTGTACAGTGACATATAGCATTCCTATTCAAAAGCAGAAATTCAGAGCTTACAATACTTTTCAAAAAGATGCATAGGAGAAAGCAGTGGCTGAACCTTAGAAAATATGAAGCTCCATATCACTGCCAGTAGTATGCGCCCTCAAACATAAACTCTGCCGTCTTGAAAGCTGATGCCTTTCAATGATATTTAAGAGATGGTTGTTTCTTATTCTCTCTAAATATTTGGAATAGCTTGGGAAGCTAAATTAGTTCTCATCTGTAAAGAACAATTATTATTATTGCTGTGCTCCCAAGTCCTTATGTTCTTGACACCATCAGAAAATGCCATCGCTTCTGGGTAGGTGTCATTGGTACACATTGTACATCTGCGTACCCTACTGTAATGGTCCCCTGGAAATCTGATTATTCTTTGTGCCAGTACTGCATGTTTGTGCAACTGTTACATTAATTTCTCCACTTTGTCCTGAATTTTTTTACATCAGTCTAATTTAAAATACTTTGCTTTTGTAGTTTTCATACCTGTTGTAAATAAAATTTCATATTTTTTTTTTCATTAAAAAGTTGTTTTTAAACATATAAAATAAACCATTTCCTTTTGTATCCTAGCTTTGCCACCAATTTTAGTCCCACGAAATACGGGAGAAATACCTGCTCAACTACCCCCATTAGACGATTATATTAATTCAGTGCCTGAAAACACGGAGTTTCCTTCAGGACTTGAAAATCTTTCTTTGACAGGTATGTGTGACTTCTAGTATTAATTTATTTTATTGTAATTTTTTGATAAATTTATTGGAACATAGTGCAGATCAGAAATTTTCATTTTTATATTATGTAGTCTCTAACCAAAACAGAACTGAAGTTTTTGAACTTATAGTTTTTCTCAAAGAATTTTAAGTGTATTACAAAGTGAAAAATAAAATAAGGTACTAATGCAAACTGTCAGGAATTTGTTCTGTTTCAAATGTTATTTTTTAATGTGTTTAATTTCTAGATATTAATGTTTTTCAGTTCTGAAACCTAAGTCCTTTTAAGAAAATTCTCAAATTTCTGAGGTAATATAATATTTGATGTTTATATTATAGTTCGAGGTTTTATATGTCCTCTGTTTTCTCCTTTATTTTACAAAAAGTCTCATACCTTTTTCTGGTAAATCATTTTTAACATATTATATTCATTTTGGGGTTTTCACGCCTGTGATTGTTGAATCATTTGCTTTATACTGTGTGAGAGTGTTACAAAAGGAGAATATTACCCATTTTATGCTATAAAAAATACTTAGGGCTGTAACTGCCACAAAATGTGTGTTTTGGTCATATTAACTGAGCTGCTAGGCTAAAATGGAATTTATAAAGAATAACATGGAATTCTAATTCATTGAAACTTCTGAATGCTTGTGATTAGCAACTAGTTAGTGGTATTTTGTAGATTTCTGTAAAAGTACATAATGAAATTTAGCAGGAGCTTTAAAGTATTTTTTAAATTCTAAATTTTATTGATCAATAAATTTTGAATCCTAACGGTTCATCGAAAGTTCAGCATGAGAAGGATAATAGTCATTTCTGTGTTAAAACTTATATTACACATTTCATTAAAATGCATAATCTTATTTTTATGCATGAGGCAGATTAATTATTTGTTGCTTGCAAAAATGGAGCTTTTTGTAAAGTAATTAACTTTTGAATATTCATGCTATGAAAAGGTGGCAACAATTTGTTTCATCTTAATGGAATTTATTCATCAATAATTAAAGCTTTGTAGTGTTGTTATATTTGTTTCATTTAAATAGAACTTATTCTGCAATAATTAAAGCTTTGCAGTGTTGTTATAAACTTTTCTTTGGTCATAGCATGTCATTTTTCAGCATATATTGTGAATGAGAATTTACATATTGTTTGTGCATAAATACAAGGGGCTGCTGGTATTATCAGGAAAAAGTAATAAAACACAAATGAGGAAAGTCTTAAAAAACTACACATGAGTCTTTCCTTTTATTTTTTATGGTGCTTATTGTATTTTATTTCAATGGATTCTTTTGAGACAAAACAATGAGCAAATGCTTTGAATATTAAAACTGAAAATTGTAAATGTGTATTTTTACATTACTTTTACATTGTTATGTTTAGTTCACTAATATTTTATATGCGCAGATTGCAATTCAGATTATTCACTACTTGAAAGCAACTCCTTTCATAAATTATTTGAATTTAAACTAGTTTATAACTCTTCTTTGTATATACTAAGTCACTGTTTAATAATTTTTTACATACCTATAATTAATGAAGAAAAACTTTTGATTTATGTGTAACATACCTAAGAGTTAGATGTTATTGTCCTTAAGAAACACAAAAATAATTAGTATAGCAAATTTTTCGTTAATTTTTTCCTTCAATATATTTACATTCTGAATATTCATACTGAAGTTTATTATATCTAAGAAGAAAAGAGCATCTTTTATTATGTTGGATTCTGTATTGGTAATGGGTGCTGTGTATTTATATTTTTTATTGTTGAGTAACAGTCATGGTTAAGATTGATGTCATGTGACTGTTACAAGATGTATGATTGCAAGAATATGCCATGAGTTTTGGATCCTGCATTAAATTACGATACCTTCTGTTTGATTTTGCTTGTCGGTCTGCTGCTTGATGAATTGAGGTGATTTCAAGAGAAGGATTTGGTAGTATCTGAGATGTGGGTTCTGTTGGTTGTGCATTAGCACTGAAGGCGTAATGAGTACGTTTCCTCAAGCACAGAATTAAAGAATCATAAGTCAAAAGATTAACTACGAAATCTTTATTTAATAAAATAGGATAATTTTGCTTAACTTAAGCATAACAATAAAGTAATAATGTTCAAGGACATTAAAATTGAAGCATTCAAAAGAATAACTTACATAGAATCATCATCAGTACTAAATATCATCAGGCTTACCTATATTAGGCAATAAGAAAAATAAAACAGGAACATACTTTGCCATCGTACCTGAAAGAGAAGAAAGTACTACTGGATTAGACCTTGGCCAGGTACAAGTAGCTAAAAGGTGAAAAATCAAATATACTGCATTGCATACGACGAGCTTTACTTTCTCTCGCCAATGTTATATATCTTGGCGCACGTTCCGTTTGCTTATGCCTTTCGACTTTCACCATGCAAAAATACCCTAAATTTATGCTAACATTGCCCTGTTTTGCTAATGAAACTCATACCAATTGTAATTCATTCCTGCAAAACTGAAATTTAGCTTTAAGGAATTGGTTTAGTCATAATAGTATCAGCAACCATTTCCTCTGTTGAAAGATAAGCAAAGTTTTACTATTCCTTTGTTATTGCAAGTCGCGTATATGATGAACTTTTGTATCAATATGTTTAGTGCGTGAACTGAATTTTTCAGATTCTACAAGTCTTATAGTAGACTGATTATCTTCAAATACCTTTATCGGTAGAGTTTGGGGTAGATTGAAATCTTCTGTTAATTTTAATAGCCATAATAGTTCTTGCATAGCTTGCGATAGTGCAACATATTCAGCTTCTGCTGAGGATAAAGAAACACAAGTTTGTTTTCTTGAAAACCATGAAATACAGTTCCTTCCTAATAAAATAACACTTCCTGATGTAGATTTTCTATTTTCAATATCTTGTCCCCAATCAGCATCTGAATAAACTGTAATATTAGGTTCTTCACTCGACGAAATTTGTAAGGATAGGTTCTTTGTCGTGTTTAAGTATCTAATGGTTCTTTTAACAGCACTCCAGTCCTTTTGACATGGATTATTACACCTTCTGCTGAGTATGTGAGTTGAAGCTGTGATATCTGGTCTTGTGATAGACGATATATACAAAAGATTTCCAATAGCTTGGCGATATCATTTGAAGTTAAGAGATTTTCTTCCTTGTTTAGATTATAATAGTTCGTTTCCATTGGTGTGCTAGCGTGTTTCGCTTCTTCAAGTTGAAATTGCTTGACAAGTTGATTTATTTTATTTTTCTGTGATAAGAGATAACTTCCATCTTCCTTGTGATTTATTTCCATGCCTAAGAAATATTTAGCTTCACCAAGATGCGTTATTTGGTAACGTTTCTTTAAATCATTAATTGTTTGAAGAATTAGTCCTTCTTCTGTAGAACTTATTAGGATGTCATCAACATACACTATTAAATTAATTCTTTTATCACGAACCACTTTTGTGAAAAGACACGGATCTGCTTTGCTTTGACGGAATCCAAGATTCTTCAATGTATTTTCAATTTCTGCATTCCAGCACCTATCTGCTTGTTTGAGACCATAAATAGACTTCTGTAATTTACAAACTTTATGTTTTTCTTCCGGAACCACGAATCCTTCTGGTTGTTCCATATATATTTCTTCATTTAAGTTGCCATACAAAAAAGCTGTTTTAACATGTAGTTGATGTACCTTGGCATTATTATACGCTGCCCATGCTAAGAAAACTCTTATCGTAGTGTGTTTCACTACTGGTGAAAAAGTTTCGTCATAATCACTGCCGTATTTTTGAGTAAATCCTTTGGCTACTAAGCATGCTTTGTATTTTATATTTTTACCAGTTTCATCATATTTTGTCTTAAACACCCATTTGCTGCCTACTGCATGTTTTCCTGGTGGTAATTCTGTAAGTTTATAGGTTTCATTTCTTTTAGAGAATGTATTTCTTCTTGCATAGCCTTGATCCAAGCTTCTGTTCACGTTTTTGGTAAGTTTAGAATTTCTTCAAAGCTTTCTGGATCTTTAATTTTAAGTAAGATTGATTCTTTGTCTTCTGCTTTATAAGAGAATCTTTCCGGTGGGACCCCTTTGGTTGATCTGCTAGAAACCCTTCTTTTTACATTTTCTTCACATTTAATTAACTCTTCAGAACTTTTTGAATCTTCTGTAAAATTATCGCCAAGAGATGTTTCTTCATTATTTTCTTCATCGTCTTGCGAGTTATTGAAGTGAATTAATTCTAAATCTTCAGCATTATTTTCTGCAAGTTTGTCAGGTAAAGACACGTTTTCTGAAAATTTAACAGTTCTACTTACTATTACTTTCCTTCCACCTACATAAATCCTGTATCCCTTACTTCGTAAATCGTATCCTACGAATATTCCTTCTTCAGCTCTGTTGTCGAATTTACGCCGTTTTTGTTTATTCACATAGTAAAATGCTTTACAGCCAAATACTCGTAAGTGACTTAAGTTTGGTTTTCTACCATTCCACAATTCATGTGGTGTTCTATCTGTGGCTTTAGTTGGTAACCTATTTTGAAGATATGCGGCAGTAGCAGCTGCTTCAGCCCAGAATCCTTTCGGTAATTTAGAGTTTATTAGCATAGCTTTTGCCATTTCTATTAAAGAGCGATTTTTCCTTTCTGCGATGCCGTTCTGTGCCGGACAATAAGGAACCAAAGTTTGGTGAAAAATGCCGAGTTTCTTTAAATAATTTTCAGTACTTTCGTTACAGTATTCTGTACAGTTGTCGGATCTGAGAACCTTTATTTTCTTTCTAAATTTATTTGTTGTCGATGCAACATACTGTTTAAGTTTGTCGAATACTTCATCTTTTGAAGTAATAAAATAAATTTGAGTATAACGAAAATAGTCATCAATGAAAGTTACGAAATATCTTTTCCCTCCTAAGCTGTTGACTTCAATGGCCCACACACATCTGGTGCACTAAATCCAGTGGAATTTTTAGATCTAAAACTAGTTTTGGGATAAGGTGTTTCAGTTAGTTTCGCTTTTACACAAGTAGAACATTCCACACTATGAGTGCATTTGCCAAGTTTAATGCCGTCTGCCAAATCATTTTTCTCAAGTGTTTTTATGGCATCTATATTTCTGTGGCCTAATCTTTGATGCCATTTTAGTATACAGTTCGTATTTGAACACTGAAACATTATTAGCTAAGTATGCTTTCTCATCAATTGGGGTTTACGATCAATTTATAAACCTTGCTGAGCGTTGCCGTCGGCTACGAGTACATTGTTATACTTTATGTAACACTTATTATTATCAATTAACAATGCAACCTTTATTGGTAACAGATTGACAGAAAGTAAATTACTATCTAAACCTGGTACATACAATACATTTTCCAATTTTATTGTGTGTAACCTGACCCTTTAAGTTTTGAAACTTCAAAATAGCCTTCACCAATACCATAAGAATTTAATTTAGCACCATTGGCTACAGTTACTATTTGTTTATTAGAGTCATTTAAATGAGAGAAAAAATTTCTTATCACTCCTTCATATGAGTGGAGGCTCCTGAGTCGATAACCACTCTTGCGTTTGCATGTTTTCATGTTTATTTTCCACTTTTAGAACTTGATTAAACTGAATCTGCGAATTTTCAGTTTCAATACTTTTAAGATACTTATTTTCTTTAAGTTTTGTTATGTTTTCTACACTTTGTGTATTTGCTATTTGGCATGCATTACTTTTATAATTTTGAGAATAATTTCTTACTTTACTGTTATTTACATCTGTTTTCGGGGAAGTATTAGCGTTGAGTTTTAAATGAAAACAGTCATTTATCGTATGGTTATTTCTCTTACAATAATTACAATATTGTGCACTATACTTTGATTTATTTTCGCTTTTACTTTTTAAAGCAACTGAACCGTAGTTTTGTACTTTCTTAGTTTCCACACGTCTACAATACTCATCTATTAATTTGTTTTTAACATATTCTAGCGACAATTCAGCTTCCAATTTACTTTCTATTGCAGTTATTAAGGAGTTGTATCAATTTGGTAAAGAACATAGTAGTATTGCTATTAAGTTATTTTCTTTAATTTCTTCACCTATACTACGCAGCTTTTCAGCCAACTCTAGTACTCCTTTGATATGTTCCTGCATTTTAGAACTTTCATTATATCTAATGGAATATAGTTTTCTAAGAAGAAATAACTTATTTGTTAAAGTTACACGTTCATGGACACATTTTAACTTCTGCCAAACTTCTTTTGCAGATTTACTGTGCAATACATGGATAATTTGTGAATCCGAAATGTTTAGACATATTAAAGCTTTAGCTTTACGATCATTCTTTAACCAAGTATCAGTTTCCGGTTTTTCTTCGAATACAACATCATCTAAACCACCTTTTATTAGAAGTTGTTTTATTTTAAATTTCCGCACTGAATAATTTTCATCTGTTAATTTTTCTATACAAATTGATTCTTTCAGAATAGACATTATTACTTGTTACAATTATTCTTATAAACTTTGTAACTAGTTTTTTTTTTTTTTTTTTTTTTTCCAACAAAGAGTGTTAACACTTTATGCCCCTGGAATCTTACAACATTACAAATTTCAATTTCTCAGTCTCATAATCTTTTGTTGGTTGTGCATTAGCACTGAAGGCGTAATGAGTACGTTTCCTCAAGCACAGAATTAAAGAATCATAAGTCAAAAGATTAACTACGAAATCTTTATTTAATAAAATAGGATAATTCTGCTTAACTTAAGCATAACAATAAAGTAATAATGTTCAAGGACATTAAAATTGAAGCATTCAAAAGAATAACTTACATAGAATCATCATCAGTACTAAATATCATCAGGCTTACCTATATTAGACAATAAGAAAAATAAACAGGAACATACTTTGCCATCGTACCTGAAAGAGAAGAAAGTACTACTGGATTAGACCTTTGGCCAGGTACAAGTAGCTAGAGTGAAAAATCAAATATACTGCATTGCACACGAGCTTTACTTTCTCTCGCCAATATATACCTTGGCGCACGTTCGTTTCGTATGCCTTTCGAGTTTCATTATGCAAAATACCTAAATTTATGCTAACAGGTTCATTAATTTTATCAGCATCTGAGTCTAGTTTTTTATAAGGTAGTAGGCATATCTGCTTGACTACAGTCTTTGTAGTCATGGTTAATATTAGATCAGTTTGTATGTTTAGCACCCTATATAAAAGACACCCATTTTCAAAATTACTTATAAAGTATATGAATAATGCCTTAAAGAGACGAACAAATTGTCTTCTTGATGTTTAATTTCTGGAGATAATTCTCAGATGCATATTGAAATAATGTATATGCATATAAATGTTATTTAAAAAAAAAATCTAGTAAAGAACTGTGTGTAGTAGGAAGGGATCTAAATTATACTGCTACTACGGTGCGAGGTCTTGTATAGAGCAGTGTGAGAAATGAGTGATTAGAGAAATGTGAAAGTGAATTATAATATTCTGAAACAACAAATTTATCTTTTTCTGTAGAGTATAGTAAGATGCCATTTTATGATAATCCACATTGTCATGAATACTAGTGAATACATAATATTCTGATGGATACTTGAAAAAGAATCAGTAATGTTTCAGTTTTACTTATTTTCATTAGTGAGTGGGCCAAAGATTTTAAATGCCGCTTTTGTATGCATAAGTTACCAATATTCAGATATGTTTTGTCCTTGTCAGATTTATATCAAGTTTATGCTTGGTATATAGATCATTGTATCTGTGGGATACATGAAACCAGGAAATTTGTAACAATATTGAGTGGCAGTGAGAATATAATGTGGAAGCTAGCTGCCTGACCTGAACAAAAATGAATGGATTGGCAAGAAATAAACAGTATCAGATAGTCTTCAGTGATAAGTACCATTCCAGAGGTTCCATCATAAGTTGAGGACCTATTTTATTCTTCATGTTCTTGGAAATATTTTTAATAAACAAAGTATTTGTATTAAGATAAAATGAGTTTAGAATGCATAAACATGCACAATATGTATAAATAATATATTTGTATAATGCAAATATTATAAATTCAATCGCCTTCTTTGAAGGAGCTCACCAGTGGCTGAGTAGTAACGTCGCTGGTAGTTGAGTCCGAGGTTCGAATCTCGCAAACAGGCTAGGTGCATGGGGGTTTTCCCCATGTGTAATATGTATACGAGCCAGTTTTCCCTAGAAAGTCCTCTGCAAAGGCATATCTCCTCTTAAGTAGATAGCTCTAGTGTGCTTTGCAATAATTAAATAAACCAAACCATCTTCCTTTGAAGGAGTTAACATGAGCAAAAACATATAATGATGTCTTTAATTAAAAAGAGCACGTGAATAATTGTTACTCATTTAGATGATCGATTGCAACTGGGAATAGTTTCATTAATTAGAAATTTAGTAATAATACTAATACAAAATACAAAATTGAGACAAGTCTGCCAACCAAGTAAGATGCTGAAAGCTCACTCCACCAAAAATAAAATTCCCTAAAATTCTTCCACAGATTAAAAGAGCAGCTTTATATGGATTGCAAAGCGAAACAGGGTTCTTCAGCAGTTACTCATGCCATTCGAGGATTGAATAAAAGTAGTACTTTACAACAAATAACAACTCTTCCAGGTGAATCGCAACTGTTGTGAACAGTAGGATCACATAGGAATGTCAGCAGATATTATTTCAAATAAAAGTAACTGGAGAGAAAAAATATTAGGAAGAATAATTAAATAAATATAATAGCATTGTGTTTTAGATTAACTTCATAATAGTGCATTCCAATGACCATTACCTGTTCAAAAAGGAACTGGAGTAGTGATTACTAGAAGTGGAATCATTTGTAATTTTACGTACTTGCTGCTCTGACGATAAGCCAGCAGCGGACAGTTTGAAATCCATGAAATTTTTACATACATAATATCAGAAAATAAATTAGTGATTAATAAAGAAGCGTGGCACTGCACGATTTCTATTTCAAATTCCATTTGTATTAAAAAATTAAACTATATTCAAAACAAGTCGCATTTCAGATGGCAAAGAATCGCAAGTAGCTCGCGAGCCGCAGTTTGGCCATGGCTGGTATATACCATGTAGTTGTTTATGTATTGGTACTGTTCTGTGCTTTCCTGCAATTATGTTTCTGAAATGTAGATTTTTAAAAAATTGTTTTTTACTTGTAATAAATCGGATTTTGTATTCTATTGTTGATCTGCATTTAAATAGTTTGAGAGCAATTGATGCTATGTTAGGTTTCAATAATTTTCCTTCAGTTGTAAAATCATATTAAGGCTGACTTAAAATTGTCTGAGTATATGGCTATATTTTTGTCAGTAGTAAAAATAAATACAGTAAGTGTGCTTTATTTTAGTCATATAACATAGACTTCCTATATTTACATAAACCGAAACCATGTTTTGTATTTTAACCCATTTTCTTGCCAGTCATGTACCTAACACATTGTCATGTAAAAGATTTACAAGAAAAAAAAAAATGTTTGTGATGTTACAAAAAATTAAGTTCTATTATCTGACTGTTGTTCATTTATTATAGAATTTGAGAATTGTTCTCAGATAAGGCAAAAGCTTCCAGACACACCACCACCTGGCTATATGAGTGAAGACGGTGATAGCCAAGAGCAAAATGGCACTGAAAATATGGGTATGCATCTAATGTATTACTTCTTCTTCTTTTTTTTGGGGGGGGGGTAGATTTAATTTAGATGATAGATAAGTTTATTATAGATGGATGATAGTAGATAAGATTTAAATCTGATGCAATTTAAATCTTTAGAAGGCTGTTCAAATGTATTAATATCAGGTTTTAACGAAAAATTCCCTCCACTGCAAATGTTGTCTGCACAAACAGTTCGTATTGCGGTATTTAATCATATTTTGTTAAACAACTTTTGGCATTTGAAAGGAAAAGATTTTCTTTACTCTGTTCTGAAATTTGTAAGAAAATATCATTATTATTAAGTACAATTTGTCTGAAATCAAACTATCACATTACTATATTAGAACCATCATTTACTTCCAGTTCTATTACAAGAAGTCATCTTCACAATGTCACCAAATCATGTGTACAGCTTTAGATACTAATGTATCATGTGACACTGCAGGTTTGGTATCAGAAATTCAAAATCAAGGACTACGACATTCAAAAAGCAGAGCGCTTTGCCTGCGAGAAATTGTGAAAGATCACTATGCAACCACTCGAGAGCATGCTAAGAAGTTAGATGTTAGAACCATGTTCATTAGTCGCTTTTTACATCACATAAACTTGATGTACAAGCTCAAATCCTGGCTGCTGCATAAGCTGACTCAAGCAGATTAGGACAGATGTGTTTGGGTCTGCACTAATCTGCTTGAATATCAACGCAAGGACAAAATTCTGGACCAGATCATCACTTGTGATGAAAAGTGGATTTTCTTCAACAACGCAGGCAGAAAACAAGTTGGTCTGTGTCCAGTGAACCTGTCGACAGTGTTGCAGAGCGCAATATGACAAACAAAAACATCATGCTTTGTATCTGGTGGGTTTTTCGCAGTTGCTGCATCATAAAGGTTGTTTTTCTAGTTTAAGAATAACTTTACACTACTAAATTTAAAAGAAAACAATTTATTATCCACTTTTTAAAGACTCTTTTCTAAACAATATCATTCTACAAACTATTTTCATTTCTACTGTTGCCACTTACAGCCTACATAAAGTTGTACAAAAGAAAAGATTATATAGGATTTGAAGAGGTTACAGATTGCCATAATATTATCCACAAAGAGTATCTGGAGAAATGTAAAACCCTCGACAATAACGTGTACAGTGAGATGGTAGTCCGTGTTGATGCTGGTATCGAGGAAAATCATCGAACTGGGTTCCGGAGCAAAATGGAAATGTTCCATCAAGCTGGATTCTGTACAGACTCGAATGTGATCTTTAGCCGCACCCATGATATAGCCCCGACATCGCTCCTTCGGACTTCTACCTCTTTTCACATCTGCTACTACATCTTGCTGGTGCTAACTTCCATTATGCACAGGACGTCGAAAATGAGGCTGATCTGTTTTTAGACTCACGGCCAGAAAGTTTGTGGGCTGAAGGCTTTGAAAAGCAACCAAAATGATAGCAGAAAATCATATATTTGTGTGATGCTTACTGCACACACTAAAGATACTGCTTTCATGTTTTTTCTATCTTAATTAGGAACTTTTTTGGCAGAAAACTTTTGTTACAATTAGATACGATGCATTGTTCCATTGAATTATGTATTTCAAGATAATAAATACTTTTACTTCTAAAACAGAAATTGCCGTAAACCTGCATTGCTAAAAGGAAACTTTAGTTTTAATAACTTAAAGTTAATGTTTTATAGTTTACTGAAATCTAAGTAAAGATATTTTCTGTCTCATTAAATATTTAATTTTATTTGTGTCTTTGCAAACAATATTAAAATTTATAAATTAGTTTTAATGATGTTTCTTAATGTTGAATCTGTATTTTATGCAGTGTTTAAATAATTTTGTGTACTTTTCAAATGTAATTATTTTTTGCTAATGCACTTGCTGATACTTTGGTTTAATGTATGCATTTGAATTAAATTTGTGATTTATGTAAAAATGTACCATGAGATTGTGGCTTGCTAAAGAATAGGAACTTCTTTGCAGGCTTCATTTTTTATAGTTATACAGTCATTAGTTTTTAATAGTGCCTCAAAACAATTAAAATATATATATATAATACCCTCAAGACTGCTATTAAAATTTGTTATTTCTTGCTTAATATTGTGGAAGAGTTTAGATATAAAGTGTTATCCATCAGAAAATGTATTATAACTTTTAATTTTTAATAATGACATTTTCTAACCATGCAGTTATATTTCAGTTAATAAACTTTAATCATTTTATATTCTGAAAGCACAAAAACATGTTTGTGCAGTAGAACTTTTAACTGATGGAACCTCATTTCACTAAATAGACTTATCTAGATTTATCTTTGCGTATCCAAAAATTATGATATTCCATGAAATAGACGTGAAGTGATTGCATGGTTTCTGATATGCAAATCGGAGCGTTGTGTCATATAGCATTGAATCAAGCACTTTATGCACATTGAATATCTTGCGAGTTTCTGCAATACAGCATTTGATTTTAGTGTGTAAGCTCTCAAAACGGTTTGTAATTGCTGCAGAGTTGGAAGAATCGGAAGTGAGTCATTGGCCGTTTAGAAAGAAGGTAGGCAATCATGGAAGCAGTGATATATGTGAATATTTTAACTCTCACTATGGAGTGAAAATAGTTTCAAAAATTTTCATTTCTGGAACTGTTGTAAGGAGGCCTTGGCAATGTTGTAAACAAATCATAACTGCTTCTGAAGATTAATATCTGGCAGTAATTGCCTAGCATTACAGGAAGTCTACTGCTCAGCAGATAAGTTCAGAGCTTTTGGCTGCTACTGGAACTATTGTTTTATGGCAAATTGTTTACAGAAAGCTACATGAAAAATGCCTTTGCGTGAGAAAGCTAAGGGTGTGTATTTCACCATTTTCCCACAACAAAAGAGGGATTGCTTTAATTGATGCAAAGAAATCAGAACTAAAGTGTTCCATTTTCTCTTTACCAATGAGTGGTCGTTTTAGTTTAACATCAGATTCTAAGCATGTTTACATGTGGAGGGAGTCAGGAATGCGAAATCTTCCTTCAAACATTGTGGAAGGTGAATGTTCAGTAAAGCAGGTGTGATCGTTATGGGGAGGAATATTGATTGATGGACATGTACTCTTGAAAATTTTCAACAGCAGATCTATGACAGGCCAAGGTATTGCAATGAGGAATCTCTAGAACCATAAGACTTTTCAGAGGTGTGTGGATCTAACTTCTTATTTATGGAGAATAATGCTCATCCTAATTGAGCAAACTTTGTTATCAAATTCCTTGAAAAAGAAGACATTCAGCTAATAACCCTGACTCACAAAATCTCCAAATTTTAACCTGATAAAAGAACTTGTGGGACTGCCTTGGAAAAGCATGTAGACATCCTTCTCCTTGCCCTGAAGATGCATTACTGGTAGAGTGGAATTTAATTTTCTGCATTGTGGCCAACAATATGATTGCTAATACTAAAACTTATTGTAATATATGCGTGCAAGTCAGGAGAGAACACATTCCATATAACTTCATAAGCTCTTAATTTTATTCTTTTTTTCCCTGAAGTCTCCTTGTCACATATTATTACTGTTTTTATTGTTTCTCGCTGTAGTTTTATATCAGCTGCAGTTATCGTAATTTTTTTCCTTTGTATTTATGTGTTATGATGTTACATGTCATTCCACATGAATTCATAAAATTAAAGTTCACAGGTTCTGAGAAATCCATATAAAATGCATGTAAAGATAATTTTTTGACATGAGTGTGTAATAGTAATTACTAATATATTAAATAAAAGTTATAGAGGGAGAGAACAGATCACTGCTTGCAAACCCTCAACTTATTTATATGAACTTAAAATCAAGAAATCTTTAAATAAAGAAAATGCGATTGCTTAGTAATAAAGGATGTTGCATCAAGATATGTATATTGAGAATGGCAGTGAAAAGAAATCTCTGTGAGAAGACCTTAGAGAGGTTTTAAATTGGTGTGTTCTAAAATTTAAGAAACCTTAAAAACTTTTCAGTTGGTCATATTTCTCAGATTATGGGATACATGGTGTTCTTTCATGTTTATGCTTGTAAGTTCCATAAGTATGTCAACTGCTTCAATATCTGTTGAATGAAATTCTGAATGTGTCTGCATAAATGCCTTAGATTTTCCTCTTTTTTTACTGAAAGTTATTAAGCTGATTGGCAGTAGAAACTCCCTCATTATGTCATCCAGAGGAGCTGTTGCTCAAAATTGGGATAGAGCTTATATTCCTCATTTGGTTTCACTCTAATTGAATCATGTAAATTCATTTTGTTCTATTTTTTCTGTTATAACCAATAAATATCTTAAAGCAGATTCATTTACACAAAGTAACAAACTTGTGTTTGGCATAGATTTTAGTCAAGGCTCTTGATGATTTCGAGAATAAAGGCATGTCCCTCTTCATCATTTGCTAAGAAGTCTGCGATGAAGGGAAGGCCACGGTTGTATTCATACCCAAAAGAAGTAAAGTAGCCGAGAAGGTAGAGCCATGCGTTTCAACTTATTTTCAAAATAAGTTGAAAAATTTAATGGAATTTTAAAAACATTAAGAAGGATTTGATTAGAATTAAAGTCATTAACTAAACAAGGTAAATCTTTGTGAATGTGAAAAGCTTTAAAGAAAATCCATTTCATCAATAGAAGAAGCTTTTGGGATACTTTTTGCAGACCCAAATTCAAAATTGTGATTAAAATTCCAACTATGATTACCTATTGAAGACTTGTTAATTTTGCCTTTTCTTACATAAGATTTGTGTTCCTTAATGGGAAACTTGAATGCCAGATTAAATTTTTTGATATGTCTTAAGCTACACTGACAAGATATTCTGTAAATTCACCCAATAATTAATGTCAAAATTGGAATCTTTAAGAATCAGACCATGGATTTTATTGGTAGGTGAGAAAATGGCCGAGTCCTGACTAAAACCTACTTTAAACAAGGCTGTTGCTTTGCCGAATTTTATGTTTTATTGGCACATTTCTCTCCTGTACAAATTAATTAATTTAAAATTTAGACGCATATTTTGCCAGTGCATACATGTACTGCTAATTTGTTTCAATGTATTTCCAGATGCTACTCTTATTTCATCACCAAGTCCTCCTCTTGGTAAGATTTTAGGTCTTTTACATGTTTTAATGTTTCACATTAAAATAAAAATGTCATTTTCTCCAATAATATGACATTATTGAATAATTTGAAAAATTTATTGTTGTTTTAATTTTGATTTAAGCATGAATGTATTTTTGTTTTTATTAAACTATTCGTTAATTGATTGTATTATTTTTCTGAAATGTAAGTCTTCATTATAGCTATTGTATAAGCTCACAACATTATCAAATTTTAGAGCTGGCAGAAAACGGTTACAGGCATTCATGCATAATACTTGTGTAAATTTAAATAGTTCTATGGTTAGCTGGTGAAAATAGTTTGTTTTATGCTCAATAGCTTAATTTAGCTTGGGTAGCAAAATATATATGAGGTACATCTAGATAATGCTCTGAAGATTTTTATCATCTGTATAATAGTTTCAGAATAAATTATAGAGCAAATGATGCTTTATTAGAATCTTATTTTGCATTTTAAAAGTTAAGCAAACAGTTAACAACAAAATTACCCATTTATTAAACTAAAAATTGCAAAATGCATTGTTTATTGTCTTAATTTTCCTGACAGCTCAAAATGCTTACTGCAGAGAAATGGGCAACAAAAAACAAAAACAAACTTTTTCGGAAATGTGACTAACCAAGGATTCTCGTACTGTTATTAAATGTTTTACAGACCATTCAAATTAGAGTAAAACTTGCCACCATTTGACACAGAAGAACTTATATATTCAAATCAGATCAAACCATCTAGTTTAGCTACTTGAGTTACTCTGAAATGGGTGCAAATATTAAATAATTAATTTTCCTGATTTTAGGATTACAGGATTGTGGCTTTTTTTTGCTATGTTTCATACAAGCTATTCAACTGAGAATAAAAGTTTTTCCCACACTTGAAGACACTTAGCCAGCTTAGGTTTGGCCACTACTAAGGCCAGTGATGGTCACTTCGTTTTGGAGATACTGTCTGTCTACGGCAAGAACCTCTCCCGCCACAGTGTCTGGCGGGTGGCGGTCGCTCTAGAAACAGGGTTAGTATATTTCAAATAGGGACGAACCAAGGGTTGCTTTAGACTAGAAGAGAAACACGCTAATGTGACAATCAAAATCGTAAAAACAACCTTGTATTTAGCGTATTCTAAAAGATTGCGTTTCTGTCTTGAATTCTTGGGGAATTTATAGTATATCGTGTCAGTGTGGTTTAAGATATATTGGCCAAACAAAAAGAGCGTTAAAGTTTCGTATCAAGGAACATGAATCTTATGTCAGAAAAGGCGAAATTAACAAGTCTTCGATAGCGTATCATAGTTGGACATTTAATCATAATTTTGACTTTGGGTCTGCAAAATTATCCAAAAGGCTTCTTCCATAGGTGAATTGGATTTTCTTGAGGCTTTTCATATTCACAAACATTTAGCAGGTTTAGTTAATGATTTAAAGTCCAATCCAGTCCTTTGTAATGCCTTTAAAATTCTACTATCTTAATTCAGTTATTTTTGCCGATAGATGGCGTTACCTCCTCGTGTTTGGTACTACCAGAGGGTATAAAAATCCATTCAGTGGTTGCTTTCCATTATTTGAAGTTCAGATTTTAAGCGTGAAGGTGCATTTGCCCCTCGCTCCCTATTTTAACTTCGCTAATTTTTCTTGTTCTTTATGCTTGATCAGATAGCCTGGCTCAGTAAAAGTAGGCAGCCAATGCAACTCTGATTAAAAATCTAGTTATAACCACGTGCAGTGCTGATAGGGACCACGTGTTTATGAGACTCCTTCTCCTTTATTTTCTTCTTTCTAGGTATTTCTTTCTTCTGATGAGGAGGGACCTTTAGCTGCCCTCGAAATCAATTGAGTGTTTCATTATACTTACGCTAAATACAAGGTTGTTTTTACGATTTTGATTCAAGGGTTGCTTTATTGTTATTTTGTTTTTGGCGACTGTTGGCTGAGGGGAAAAGAGTTTATCATTTGTCTTCTCGGTTTCATTTGAGCTGCACGCATCTTTAACTGGAATCTGGATCTTATATTATTACTGTTAGTTATTTTTATTCTTGTTGTTATTTCTTTTGTACTGGTATGTGTTCAAATTTACTTCTGTTTAGCTTGATTTTCATAGTGCTTTGTTAATCGTTAATTTTTTAAAATGCCCTTCCAGTTTAAGAAAGGTCAACCTTCAAAGTCTCAGGCACGTCAAATTGTGTACAATATCGCAGAATTTTGCACTTCTAAAGGTTTGTTGAACTCCTTAGTAGTTTCTCTTCCTCAAGTTTTGAAGAGAACATTGCAAGCTACTGGAGTATCGGAGTATACAATTAAAAAAATTAAGCATGAGGTATCAACATTGGGGGAAAATAAACTTCTGAATACACCTGGAAAGAAACGTAAAAGCCCTGCTAATCATAAGTGCGAAATTGACAATTTTGAGAAATGCGTTATACAGCAAACAATACAAGACTTACATCAAAGGGAAGAAAGTGCCACCTGTGCAGAAATTACTGCCTGTCTTGAGGCAGAAAATGGACTTCCCGTGGCAAAAAGATTCTTTGTGCAAAGTTTTGCATTCAGTGAATTTTTGCTGGAAGAAATGCATTAACAAAAAATTCTTATCGAAAGACTACACATTGATTTTATTGGCTTATTACCCATTTCTGAATGCTCTTAGTTTTGCTTGACTATAATTAATCGCGTCACACAATAAATCTGAGTTTCCATGTTAGCTGAAACAACTTGTAAAGCTGTAATTAGTGGTTATATAGCTCGTTTTTGATGGCCTGCAGCTTCATCATTGGCCAGGGCTGAAACTTTGAATTGCATAATTGCCTTTGCTCCATTGAAAAATCAATCATTTTCTATTACCAACTTGGTTTCTGTAACTCTAAAGTATTTAAGGTTCTAGCTGAATTTTTTCCTTCTGGCCAACTCTGTAAAACAAATTTCTTCGAGCATTGTTGCGTAGCATCATATTTTATTTCTCTCTTCATTTCATCATTTTCTTATTGCTGGAATAAGTGAACAAATTTCTGAATTGCATCTTTTTCTCTTGTTACATTCAGATGTGCTGAGATTAAAGTGCCTGCTATCTCTAAGTCTTTCACCTTTTTGTAGCATATATCTGGATTATATTTTTTGAAGTGTAACAACATTCTTTGTTATCACTGAGTTACTTTAAAAGGAAATTTTTTATTTGTATTTTCAAATGGCCGGTGATCAGTTTCAACCATAATACATTTGCCATATTATATGTGTGCATGTGTTGTTACGAATTGTGCATATATGTAAATGATTTAGTGAAATTAAATATAAAATTGTATAATGTAGTATGAAAGCCTCAAGATGTAAAGTATTGCCAGAAAAATAAGATTACAGGAGCAGATTGACTAATTTTTGTCACCAAATTTGGTGACATTTTGGTCTGGTCCCTGTATAGCTAATTGTATAACTAATCCTTATATGTAATTGTGACTGTGTCCAGCCCTATATGGATGTGCTTATATGTTTATGCCTTCCACCAACTTTCAGAAATCTAGGTTACTGGAAATTTCTTGACAGACGGAAGAAAAATAAATTAGATTGAAGAGAGCATCAATTCTCAGTGTAGTTAAGAATTGAGCTCAGATTATTGAGAGATCAATGTGCTAGGTTACACATTGAGGCTTTTCATATTTTTTAATGTTTAATATTCTTAGTATTTTGAAGTGAGAACTATTGATTGTGCTGTAATACTCAGAAGAGCTGTATGAGTACTTTTGTGAAAAGTTCCAGAAATATGAAGTGTTTGGGGGGGGATAAATTTTATTCAGCTATCATTGATTCTCCGTGCATTGAAGCCATTGCAAACACGTACACTCAACACAAGATATGTATATACGAACACATGTAAAACATAATATATAACACAAAATTATTAAACTTTATTTGAAACATCTTTGCAAGTAGATCAGGAATTTTAATTAAACACATCCCTGCTTCAGAGATTCACTTTGCACCATTTTGCATCATTGTGTCGCGTATTATGTCACTTTCCCTGCAATTTCTCTTTGCTGCAACATTTTCATCTCAGTCCTGCGCAGGGTTAACACAAAGACCTTCCAGCTATAATTACAACCAAAGTTACTATGCATTGCTTTTTCTCGCCTGCTGCTACTTGTATAAACGTCTCTCACCTCAGCTTCTTTCTCTATTTTCTGAAATATAAACTACATATATCAGTGTTCGTAGCGGTCCTTACAAGTGCTTATAAGTCCTTATATTTGAAAATAAAATATAAAAGCCTTTATAGGTGATTACTTTTTCTCTAAAGCACTTAATTTTTTTTGTTTTTAGTGCTTATTTTCTGCTTTTAAGGCCTTAGCCAAAACTAAATAAACAACTTTTCTTCCTTATATAGAACGTCAGATGGTGAAATAACTTTTTCCCCCTTTCTCTGCATTAACATAACCTTTGGTGCGTGCGAGTACAGACAGGTGCATGTCATTCTATTGGTCAAAGAAATGCGAAAGCGGTAGAAAATTCCAGTACGTTCCCTATTCTTTTGCTCTCACCAATATTACACACGTTTGAATTTCTATCAAGATTTTTAATAATTTACGTTCTCATTCCGCGTGGTCAGTTCATATTCGTGTTTATTATGATCAGTATGCTTATATTATGAGCATATGTATGACTATTTATAATAATATATTTGCAGTAACTGCTGAAGTGTAGGTAAACTCCAAAAATGGGTAAGTGTGTTCTAACACAGATTAATTTTCTAAGGAATAATTTTCGGAATTGCATAAAGTAATCAAATAGTTAAAATAATTTTTTTTTTTGGCCAAATGCATTACACAGTACGGAAGTTGGGGGGTTCTCCCTTTTTGCACAAAATCTCGAACCGGTACAGTTTGCAGCAAAGCAAGCAACAGACTTTTCTTTTGGAGGGAGGGGTCACTTTTCAACCTGGATTGAATAGGACTAAAAGTTCTGCATTCTACCAACCCAAGCGAAGAATGATTCTATTCCGGAAAT